CCACCTCGAAAGGGTTAAGTCCCAAGCTGGCCACATCACACTGTTGTGCCATTTAGTGCAGGAAACCTGATAGTTTGGTTCCTTTTGATGGCCTGATTCCCAGGCTTAGGAGAATAAATTAAAGGCAATCCCCTCCTAGGCCTCAGCTGCAGCGGCAGGGCATGCTGATTTAGGATTTTCATCTGGGGAGCTTTTCCCTCCCTTCCTGCTCTCCTCTTCCACAACCCCCCCAATTTTTCCCCTCCATCGCTCCCACCCACCCGGTAAAACATGGTGAATATGGTTTAAAATGTGGCTTTTGTTTGGCCATAATGAAGCCTCAGTACAGCTGTCAGTCACTGTGAGGAGTCAGAGAAGAAGAAGAGGCTCTTATGGAAAGAAAAAAGAGAGGAAGGGGATGGGGATGTGGGGATGGACGCCTGGTGGCTCAAGACTCTGAGATTCAGAATGTTCAGTCCTGATCCCCAATGCCCCATCGCAGTGTGAGGGGATTTAGTAGAGCCACCAGTCTTATGGCCGAGGAGCAATGACAAGCCTGTAATATGCGTTTAGACTACTGAACTGTGAGTCAGTGTTGTCTGTGTTTGGATTTTGAGGGGTGATGAAACAAGAACACATCCCTGTTGTTAAGTACATGTTTTAAAGCTGCAGAATGCTACTTTTGTAGCACCGCAAATGAGACCGAAACAGCCTGAGAAAGAATATGAGTTCTAAGGACTTTAGATTCAGTAATGAGTTTAGTTAATGTCTTACTTTTGAGAAGATCATGACACAATGATAAGGTGCATGTAAGTCATACAATGACTAGACCTTCATCTTGTTTGACAAAAGGGAATCCCTGAGCTTATAATGGCATCAAGTAGTGGATACCTGTGCTTTGTCATTCAAGAACATTAGAAAAAGCAGTTCAGGATCGTAGCTTCAAAGGGCCAAATACAGACTAATATCTATAAATAAAACATTACACAGATGAATCGATACAGAAAGCAAAAGGAAGTCCCGTATAGATACATTAAAACAATAGAGAGATCCATGGCAGAATTAATAAAAAGTCAGGAAATATTCTGCAAACATCTAACACGTCCAAAAACTCACAATACAAAATATCACAATACACATTTAAAGGCTCTCTTAAATCTTTTAAAGCAGACATGCCACTGATTTTACACATTACATTCATTATATTACATTATAATTTAGAGTTTAGTTTGTAGTTCAGGGGAAGTCTAACAAAAATGCTGTTGAGTTGCATTGTGGGAAATGTACAGTAGGATCCCGTGTTTCAAAAGTCAGGATAGCTTAAACGTCTGCTCCTTTGACTTTTACCATTCTTTGTTAATTCTTTTTCTCTTCACAAGCATCCCAACTTTGTGAAAGTGCAATACCAAATCACTGGAGTATCCCTTTAATATTCTATAGCATAATAATATGCTTTGTGTTAATATACTGTTAAAATATTCATCATTTAACAAAAAAGAAGAAGAAACAAGAAATGAATTGCACAAGCCCATCAGTATCTGGTCTTGCTGAAAAACAGCAATTTTTCCTCAAAATCTATGTGATCGTTGCTGGATGTGATAACAATTTTAATTACTTCCTATTACTGAGGACACAAATTTAACAGAGCTCCTTATTGCAGCTTTAATATCAAGAAATCATGTAATATAATGTCAGTACAAGGCTCGCGAAAAGAGTTTACCAAAAGAGAAATGATTTTTCACATGAAAAGAAGATTCCTAAACCTTGAACTTGATAAACCACTTCCTGTGTGAATTCCCATCAGCAACCATCTTCAGTGAATTTTTGGCTGGACTGTGGGGCTGTCCTGTAATACAACTCTTCTGTGTGGTAAGAAGGGTATATCAAAAACTTGCATAATAACTTGCATATTTGGGCTTTCAGGAGGGGAATTCACAACATAGCCCAAGCCAGACACGTTCAATTATGAATTTAAATGAGTCATCTAATGTCAGTCTAACATCACTCTGTGGGCATGATCGATCTATCTTTCTTTTATTCATCTGTCACCAGCAGACAAACACGTCCTGTATGTGCTGCTCCTGTGTGATATATGAGCAGTAGTGGGTGGTCGCTGCAACGTCTTCATCCACATGTTGGTGAGCAGTCAAACTGGAACAGAATTTCATTACAGTGGAATAAAGCAAAACCTGTTTGGTCGGCCTTCGGGTTTTAGTAAAGTGCAAAGAATGCTGACCTTGTATATCTCGTTTTAGTATCTTTCTGTTTTTCCTGTACTTCCTTGCGATGTTCTTTATGGGGACAATGAAATGTTTTTAAACTACACTGACACTTCTGATAAAACATAAGGTTCCCATTCAATAGATGTGAAAAGAGGCTGGCAATGTCCTAATCTGCCCATAGGCAGTTGATTATGATAAAATAAATTTTACTTAACATTCCTATTTGATAACAATCTTAAGACCATGAACTTTAACACTATTTTAAATGTTAATACACTTAAGACAAATCTGGCGTCCTAATTGATGTTTCTCATCAGGGACTGCCTGGCAAATTAGCCTTTCCGTTTTAGCACTTGTATGAGCAGGTTATACTAATGACTGTCCCACTGAGATGTAATCCAGATCTGGGGTCACATACAGGGAAACCTTATGTGCACAACTTTTTCATGTGGTAATGAACAAATGCCTTTTTCTTGACACCCAGCTGGTTTTGAAATTGTGGCAGGTTTTTGAAAAGGTTTTAAACACTCAAGGATTTTGCAACCAAAGACTTGAGTAATCAACTGCATTTTAACAAGACCAACAGTCTGACCAATATGTCCAATTACACCATAAAATTCCAACATGACTGTTGTAACAAACATACTGACATGTATCCTATTAGTGTTAATTTTGCCTCTTTGGAAGCATAAATCAAATTTCATAGCCATCTGCCCATCTGATCATGGATATCTTGGGTGCAAAGTTGATTTTGGTGGTTGTGGAAAACTTAATGGACGTGCAAGAACATTTTCAAATTCTTATCTTAAATTTCTCTTCATACGGGCTCGTACGAGTGTGCTGTGTCAGATTCAATTAAACGCTTGAAACTTCAGATATGGCACGCATAAACATGATGAATGATGATGAATGAGCATGCGTTCATGAGAATTGTAAATTAGCAAAAAATGATGCCCCAATAATACCATATTATGCCAAATATGCCAGGAAGCGTTAATTCATGATGACATGACATCGAAGAGTAAAAAGAAAAACAAGTTTGAACATTTAAGTCCTACTTTTAGAGATCCAAAAAGGAAAGTCTATCAGTTTTAAAAGTGTCAGCAACGGAATTAAGGATTTGGGGCTCTAACTATGGACAATATATTACTGGACGAAGCCACCCCGCTGATTTGAATGGAGAGCAGTGAAGCCAGTTTTGGACCAATAAAATACTACTACAGGGCTACTTCCTGTTTGCACCAGCATCTACTGTGCATGATCGCGCAGCATAACCGTGGTTTAATGACGTAAAGCAACGGCAGAAACACCATAATTCTGACGCCAACAAAAAGTGTCATGGCTCACTGTGTTTGTCTGACTCGGATCGTCTCTGTTCAGCCTACCTATGAGGCTCACCTGCCAAACACCAATGCAGCGTCACTGATGGCTGAAAAGATTTTTTTGATTGCCGAGAGCTTATAATCTAAGCAATACAGTTACATCTCTCATGTACAATGGACGGGGTGTCACAGGGTTTTGACGTCATTTTGGGGCCTACATGGATCCCTCCATGCAGGCTTTGGTCGGCTTCACTGTCCGATCTCTGGCTAACCCCCTTGGCTCTAACAAGTTTCACATTTGCAGCAGCACAGTCCATGGTGATCTAAACTGCGTCAACCAGCATTCATCTGTCTCTGCCAATATATCTACACGTTATCACTCTCTTTCAGTGGCCTGACGGGAGGCATTCAAATGTGGCAAGTTCTCCTTAATTACTTGTACAAACCACTTAAGAACAAATCTGTTTGTACAAGTTGTTCTTGCATAAAGCCCAATAAGTCTAAAATGGAAAGAGTTCCTCTGCTGGGCAGCATGAATGTGACTCAGTAACTCAGTAAATTTAATGGTAGTTTGCCCAACACAGTTGGAAATTTTGGTCTGATGATGGTGCAACAGGAATGGTCAGGGAGTCACCAAAACATGGAGATTTATTCTAAATACTGTGAAAATCATCAGCAGACTTCATGGAAATCCAGATTTCCAAACTTAAAGTGAAATTCCATTGACTCAATCATATTATCATCATCGTACAAAATGTTGTTGTCCAAATGAATTACTCTTACATTACTCTTTTAAAGGGTGATGTAACAGCCATTAGATAGCTTGTTTTTGCTGACCTCCAGTGGTTTAACTTCTCCGCTTGCTGCAGTGATGTATTGGTGTACTCCAGGACATCGTGACATCACTGTTGGTTGTGGCTACAGGCACTCATTAGAGGTGAAAGGCTTGAAACGTTCAACCAGAGAGGGCAGCAGAACACTGCTTTTCAGCCTGCTGTTAAGTTACTCTTCAAAATTAGTTATTGAGCTTTTTGTCTTTAAATTTGTTAAGAATTTTATCCAATGTAATGTGCACTTGTGGGCCACAGTTCATTGTCTTAAACTGTTGTTTTATGTCATTATGAATATAGCTGCCATGTCATGAATCATATCGTTATCTGAAAAAGGGTTTAAATCATCCAGTAGTTGCTTAGACGCAGTATATTGCTCTGGACATCAACATTCTTAGGCCCTGCCAGTAATTAACCAAAATAAGATGTGGAGGTGTCATTTTGAAACAATACTGCTGAATTACATATTAAGTGTTTAAATGAACAACAATACTGGGCACTGAATTTTTCCTCATGGGAACAGGATAACAGGTCAGGTAATGCATCACTGGACAGTTGTAAATTGCTTTTATTGGTCTTGCCACAGTCTTAGGGTTAGACTGAGGTTATTGAAGGCTCAAACATCTCCAGACACACTCATATTCACACACAAGATATATACATACACACGCAGGCTCTGTCTCTTTGTCTGCAGGGTTAATCTGAGGGCCAGATCAAAGGGTCAGGCCCAGGAGATAAACTCCGGCCCTGGAGGTTCCAGCCCCCTTCTCTCTGTATATCTGCAAATCATTAAGCTCAAGGTGATTCACTGCAGCTTACCAAGTAGCCCCAGAGGATTCTGGGCCAGATAGAGGAGGATTTGTCCGAGCCGTTGCTGTCTACCCTGCTGCCACTCATGCTGACGTTACTCTGTCGCTCGGCTTTGGAGCCCCTGCATGCTCTGAACCAGACATGAGAGCCACTCAAGACACCACTAGAGATAAAAGACCCTTCACCCCTGACAGGATGGGATCTTGCTGGAAACACACCACGCAAATTATACTCTCTGCCTGCTTTGTATGAGGGATCTCCAAGAAGGAATCCTTTAGAAAAGGCAAAATATTCAGTTGGTTGAATGTCTGGAGGGTTTATTAAGCAGAAAATGTTCAATGGGAAGCAAAAGGCCGTGCTTGTTCCTGCATGATTTGGAATACACTTCTAACAATGTCGGCAGGGGCGGATGAATGGGTACATGTGTCATCGCTGCTGACACGCTAAATGAAGGGTATCAAAGCATGGAGGTCTGGCAAGGAGGGAGGGCCAGAATGAGCGAGAGAAGAGAAGAAATGAAAAGTGTAGGAGAGCAAAAAAGAAGTACTAGGGATTGAATAAAAAAGGATGAGCCACAAGAAAAAAGGCACATCTGTTTCCATTATCGTGTTTCAAAAGAGGACTCTTGGTTCCTTGTCAGTATGTTTCTTCATTTCTGTGACACCCCTTGTGGGGAGAGCAGGATTGGTGGTGATGGGGTGGTGGGGTAGGAGGGGTGAGCCTCCGGGTAATTGGGATCCCAACCTTCTTTACAGGAATGACAGGGCTCTCACTTCACTGACACCTTTAGAAGGAGACAGGTGACGCCAAGGTGCCCCCCACCTACGATGAGGGAAAGGGGGAGAAGGGGGAAGAATAAGGTTGGAGGATAGGATGAGGGTGCACCTCAGGGCGAGCTTTGGCACCGTGACGCCACGTATTTGTGTGAATGTTGTTGTCGATATGTGTCTATCTCTCTGTCTGTATTCATGTATATACGTGTGGAAGCCTGCACACTTCAAACATGGGGAGGAGAGTGCGTGTTCTCTGTGTCCGACTGTGTGTTGCTCATTCCAGTTAACAGCAGGGTGTGTAACAGGGTGTGACCACTGAATGAAACACTGACAACAATGACAAACTGTTTCAAAATTTCTTAGAGGTGAATTATAATTCCTTCAAATTGTGGTTTGGCGAAATATACAAAACATCATTGGCACATAGTTTACTTACACACCTGAAGACTAATTGCACCTACAAAGTTGTTTCCACAAACTTGCACAGATTAATTAGTCGTTCAGTCAGAAAGGAGCATAAACCTCACAACATAGTAAATACACTAGACGATACACTGGATGACTGGTCAGTAATGACTGGAGTCTAAAGCGTACTCAAACGAACATGGAAACCAGTCGGTAGCTTGCACTGTTAACATGCAATATGCAAATATATATGCCAAATTTCATTTATGCACACATGTATGTGTATATATGTTACATATGAAAACAATTGCAGATGTGTCTAACATCAGCTAATAAGTAGCATAAATTGGTTGGCAGCATGGTAGCATTAGTCTTTGCTTACCTGGTTGGATGAAAGCCTTGGCGATTGTAGTCCAGCTTCTTTCTTTATTTGGTGTAGGAGCCTTTTCCAGGATAGGGGTTCTTACCCAAAATATATGAATTATAATTCATTCTTCAATATGTTAATTCACATGTGCCTGAAATATTACTTGATCTGAATGTGTTGATGAATAAAACATTAAATATATTATATAAATAGTGTTTGTTTTCATATTAAATTTCACTTTCATAAGACACATGTTTTTAGTATTTATTCAGCCCGGTTCCCACCCCTTGAAATATTTTTTTATGAAAGAAGAAAAACAGTATTAAAGCTTTACCTCTTCCAAGTAGAATATGGTCAAAAAGCTGGAGACCATTTGCAGATCTATCAGCATTTGGTTGGTGTTAGGCTGGTGTTAACGTCAAACGCTGGGTGTGTCCCTAAATCCTCTCGGGCTGGTCTGAGCCACGCAGCCCCTCCAACGCCACCATCCGCAGCCAGCTGATTTCCTGAAACATCAGAGGCCAGGAGTCAGATGGCAACAGATGTAGAGATGGAGATAAATGTGGACGACAGTACAGAGGCTTTGCAGTTGCATCACCGGTCTCCTGGAAACCATGTCTGCATCATAGAGATCCATTAGTGAAATGGTGGTGGTTATGATTAGCGAGATAACATGCTGAGATTATCTGTTTAGCACAAATTTAATCAATTATCATATAAAATCCAAAATAATATCAGAAATTTTAAAATAAATTAATATGGCCCAATTATAAGAAAGAACAGAAAAATAATAAACAGCTACCGGTCAGCATGGTATCCATGGCAGATTGGTTTGAATGAGAGGCAAATTGTAAACCATCTTGGATAAAAGCGCTACATCTGAGCCAGATGTTAAATAAATGATTGATTACTAGAAGTAATGCCTATCTGCAGCTTTTAGCTGCTTGTTGCAGCTTTCAGTTTTGGATCTATGGTCCATAAAGTCCATAAAGTCCCATTGGCTTTGACCAATACACCATACAGTATAAAACAACAGGGATCCATTCCAGCTCACTGCTGACACAAGCTGGGGGAGCTGAAGTGAAGAAGAAATTTAAAAAGTAAAAAACAACCAGATGTTTTCCTCTGGATAAGATTTGAACAATGCCATGTAAATATAACTTTTGATTTGATTGGAGTTGCAAATGCTATAAACAATCTTTGTAAATATTTTTTTGTAATTATTAAACCTTTCTTTTAATAGGGTTTAAAAACAGGAAGAGTGGTAAGAGATGAAGACATTTATTCCTCAGGGGAAAAAACAAGGGCAGTGGTTACATTTAAATTAACGTGCCTACTGTTTCTTTCAACGTGTAATCAGTTATCTTGTGGTTTGTGTGGCAGGTAAAGTGATGAAATTGGCAGATGAGGTTTAGAATCCACCAAGCAGCAGATTTCCAGAGTGGCTAATGCCGGAGGGTTAAAATCCAGTCAGGTGTGCATACTTAAAGGTGAAAATATTCCACCGGTGTTACATCACTGGGGTTTGCATCATTATCTTACTTTTAAAAAAAACACCTGTTTTACAACAACAAACAACAACAGATTGTGATCAAACAGCGGGTGATGTGTGATCATCTCAGCCTGTGCTCAGTGTTTATGGCCTTACACCATTGTTAAAACCACAAAACGGCATGAGCACCATGGAAAAAATATAACTGGCATGAAAGCAGTTTCGGATTTATCTCCACATGGACCAAATGAGAGAGAACCAGAACTGTAATGGGCTTCATCTGGATCCAAAGCTGTTAAATTTGGCACCTACATATTAATATCCCAAGTAACGGACTGATGGGAAATGCAATTATAGTGTAGACATGCTAGCTTATGAGATCATCCCTAAGTTAGCCAAAGGTACCAGTAGGAACTCCTCCTTTACTTCCTTTTTGGTGATAACAGAGTTGATCTAATTAAGTAACATGCCTCTTGTACATCATTATAATTTAAGTATTCTTACAAATCCATGCTTTGCTCAACAAAGGTACAGTCAGTGACCTGTTTACAGGAACAACAAACGGTTACCAAGACATCTCAGAGGATTTTCTCCACATATCACTTGACTATAATGCAGACGGATGATGTTGACACACACAGAAAAAAAGCCTAATGGGGGCCAAACTATGCTTCTTCTGGATTTACACTCCCGTGTGTAAAAATAATACCAACTCTCTGAGTTAAGAAGACTTTTACAATGCATGACATCTCAGCCCGCCTTTGCCCTGATGCCACATAAGTTGTGACCTGTCAGCTCATTGATCCTCAGACATCCTGAGATGTGTCAGGCCTCACACAAACTGCCACGATGACACACACCGGCAGAGAGGATGGTGGGATGGAGAGAAATAACCCATGCTAAAGAAATATCTAATGTTGTATTTATGTCAATAAACATGTTTGTATTCTATTGCAAAATATTAAAAATTCTTCATCCATTGTTATACAAGCTGTCATATTTTGTACAATGTTTGGTAACAACAGTGCATGAGTTTTTTATAGAAGTCAAAGTTAATAAAGAATTTTGCGCAACTTAATATTTCTACAACACTAAATATTGTAGCTGCATGGTAGCTCAACCCCGAGCTCGTAAAACTGACACACAGACCTGCAGCTCTTCATACATCGATAACACAGACAGGGAGCAGAGGAGAGAGGATGGAGACACTGATGTAACCCACATTTTTATAGAGACTCTGACTTCAAATCCTGCGCATTGGGGGCAACATACATGCATGTGTAAAGAGAACACAGCTTTGGAGGTGGGGCTCAGCTGCTCAGTGGCACATGAAACCAAATTAACTTTCGTTTTAGCCCTCTGCTAACTTGAATGGGGTAAAATGATTTCATTGTGTGGCTTCTCTAGACTCTACAAATGTTTTCAGACCAAGCTAATCACATTCTGAGAGTGAAATGAGTCATTTTGCTGGGATTGTAATGCTGTAAAAAAATATATCGACCATTTTACAGCTGCTTCTTTCACAATTAAACTCTATTAGAAAACACCTCTTGGGGCTAATGTGCATCACATGATGGACCCGGAAGTTGCAGTTCCATGGTTTGGCCATAATTTTAATATTATTCTGCATATAAAATATGAAGCATTGTTCTACTCCAGCCACTTAGCAGAGGCTGAGCTATCCTGACTTTTAGTCTCTAGTGGATCCTACGATTCCCATGATGTAACTTGATAGTGTCTGTCAGAGGTTCCTCCATGTCTGGTAAATGCCTACATTTAGCACCTCAAAAAATGATCAACACTTCCTCAACATCCCTGGTTCTTGATGCATACATGTGTCACACAGATATCTCAGCCCAGTCAGACAGACACACAGCAGACTGAGGTAAGAACACACCACCGAAGACAGATTATGTCTAAGAAGATGGACAGGAGGAGCCAGCCCGGTGGTCTTCAGGCTGGGATGGAGGCTGAGAGAGGGTGAATCAGACAGACATTGGTCTTGTGGGTGGAAATTGTGTTTCTAGATGCATATGTAAACATATGCCTGTGTGTATAAGTGTGTGTGTATTTTAACACAAGGTTCAGTCTGTGTGTCTGCGTCGCATCATCTTTTTTTGTGCTTGCTCAAGCCACACATGTACGTCTTTGTGTGTTTGGGGTGTCAGGGTCTTGACGCTTTAAGCCTTTTCCCTTTATACCTTCAGGAAGACAGAACTCGAGGCTTCAACCCGTCCAACACACACACATGCACACAGTCCACAGAATGTGTGTAGAGCTCAGACAGCAGGCCTGGGTGTCATCTATTACTCCTCTGAGTTCAAAGTCCAGCAGAACAATGACACACAATTAGGAGCTTACAGAGGGGATCTGAGCCTTTTGCTGCCGGGTTAACAGATACTGAAGGGGGTGCACTTGCAAAATCTTAGTGTGTAGTTCTGTCTTTCTATAAATGCCTGCCTCTGGTCTTTCTTTGAGTCTGTCTCTCCTCTGTCTACATGTATCTGCCTCTTTCTGCTCTTGCTTTCTATTCTCTACCAAAGAACAGCGTTTTAAAAAGAAAATAATGACTATTAGAGAAGACTTCATTAGAGTTAATGGAAGCGTTGTAATTCTGTGGAGTGGCAGCTAGGGATCAGGAGGCCCCCTCACTGATTCCCATTAAGATGATTACTTTTAGGAAAACTTGGTGGTCCAGGAGGAAATTAGTTCATTTGATGATTGAAAGTGTAAATATAACAAATACAATACATTCAGTATATTTGTTGAAGGATGTATAAAATGTGGAGCAAAACAATGAAAAGACCTTGAAAAACGTTATTTAATCAGGCAGTCGTGTTGAGATCTCTTTTTCAGGAGAGACCAGAAGAGAAAGAAAGAATTAAGAATTAGGGTAGTACTCACAGCTGAGCTTTAGTCTGTAAAATGTCATAACAAAATTTAAAAATGCCCAAAACATGTTCCCACAGACAGGTAACGTCTTTAAACTGCTTTTTTTTTTCCTACGAACAGTTCAAAAACACAAAACATTAAATTTACAGCTAAAAAAACTGAGAAAAACAACAAATCCTATGCAACAAGTTAATTTTGTGCTTGTTAATCCATCATCAACCTTCAATCAGCTAACTGATGAACCATTTAATACATACACAGAAAGACAACATATACTGTACACTCAAACACAACTAAAGAAGCACACATATTGATCTCTACCACCCCCACCCATTAAGCATATTGTCCATGGTGTCCCCTCTGTCTGCGTCCCAGTCATTGTGTGCATCCAGTGTAACTAGAGACCAGTCTAGACTGGCTGGCTACTGGCTCTAATCCTCAGAAACATGCAGCTGAATCAATCTGAAACCAGAGAGCTGCTGGCCGTCGCCCCTGTTAGCAGCCGGACAACACAAACACTCATTCATTAGAACAAACATACAAATAACAGACATCTACCATCAGACAGGAGCTCATGTTGTGACTCCAATACTAGCCTGATGTATTATTGGCGTTGGAGGTGGAAGCAGTAATAGTTGCAGTTGTGGTAGTTAATAACGTTATTACTGCAGCAGAAGAAATAATTGATTGTAGCGGAGGTGTAGTTGTCGTTGAACCAGAACTTCTAACTGCAACTATTGCACACATCACAACAGTAGCTTCATAATCAAAGGTTTTATATTGTGCTAAAATGATTACTCAGTTTTTTTTGACAAACAAGTATTGTGATCATTGATTCATCGTTTACATCATTCATCAATCATTTATTGAGTTCCAAACATTGAGTGGCTCCAGCTTTTCAAATGATTCATATCATTGTAAATTAACATGAATGTGGCTTATTATGATACCACATTAGTGGCCATAGCAGTACTAGTGTCCATCTCTGCCCACTGAGATTGAACATTAAGTGTTGGACTTTCTGAAAAGATGTTTTAAGAGTTTCACACTAACTAAATGCATACACTGTGGATTAGGTTGAGGGAGAGTTGTAATTCGATTATGAAAACAC